AGACTTTGACTTGAACAGATTTTTTAAACATCAGCAGAAGGACATTGTACCTCAGCTTGTGCTGTAAAAAATAGCAAAAACACAAAAATGTTGTTGATTCTTAAAGTTCGGAGGGCACAGAATGGACCTTTTCCAGGTTCTAAGAGAAGTTTATTGATTTACATAATTAACCCACATACTTAGGGTTCATTATTCAAACAATCGGAATAAGGAGTACTACATTGCGAGGGCAAGAAAACAAAACAAAACAAAAAATCAATGTGTGCAATAAGTAGGCATGTTGCAGGTGATCTGCAGAGCTGCAAAAGTTAAGACGAATAATCCAGTTTAGCCCAGTTTAAACTAGCAGACTGACAGTGCTACAGGGAGTTAAGGAGTTTATATCAATATTAGAAGAACTGTGTAACGTCTACACCATGGGGTTATTTACAAAAATAGTAACTGTAATACAAATTGATATTATTTATTGTGCACTTCACATAAGTGTCTAAAGGTGCTACAAAAAACTAAAAAAACAAAATAATAGTTAAAAAAATAAGATTAAAAATAATTTATAAAACCTTCATAACCATCATAAAAGTTCCCTTTTTTAATAAAACTTATAGGTTTGATAAACCCCTTATTACCATTTGCATATCCTCCACCCATAAATACGTGCAGTCTGGTCATTAGAATTTGTCACACACCAAAAAAGCTTCTTTTCCTTTAAACTACACACGAAAAATCACTTTACACTTTCAACGAAGATCTGCTCTGCAGGTGTTAATAAGTTTTGCACATTTCCTAATTCACACAAACCATTTGAAGATCAGGCCCTGAATGTGACCACAGACCAGCTGTTTACTTGTTTATTTGAATCTTTCCCCTAAAGTTGGAAAAATGCCACACTGACATAAAACATAGATTAAAACATAGAGTTTTTTATTTGAACTCTTACCCTTTTACTTATTGTCTTTGTTTATTTTATATTTTAGACTCCGACAAGTTTTATTGGCATTTTGTATACACAAAGTGTATACAAACGAAAATTCGTTTTGTACAGCTTTCAAGACATCTTCATTTCTTTTCATTTCTTAAAATGCAGCAGTGATCAAATCTAAACAGTGTGGGAGAAAAAACATGCAATTGAAATGGAAGTTCAGAGCATGAAATATATATTGTGCAATTATGCAGCATTTTGGTTTGGGGTTGTCAGTCTGCAGAGTCTGTGACATGATTTAGAGTTTTCCCAGCAGTTACGCAGTCTGATGGCGGTGGGGAAGAAGCTGTTTTTTCCTGATGTTCTCTGTAACACTTTGGGATTTGTATAAATATAAAGTGCATTAAAAATCCAATGTATTATTGTTATTAACATCATTATTTTTAAGTGTTTAGAGGGACGCCATTCAAAGAGAGGTTCCGCTTAAACTACAATTCTCATCTAGAATATTATTTTATTCTGACTGAGCCAAAAAATCTGATTGTGTTCATATGATGAGTTTTTATTTAGATCAGCCCTTTATTCCAAGTGCTTTTGCTCATGTTAAAATTTCAAATGACTTTCAATGACAAGATTTATGTTTGACCTTTGACCCTCTCACTGCTACTTTTGAACACTAAGATGTTAAGGAGCAGAAGTGGTTTAGTTTGCTTGTCATATGTTGTTTTGAAGGCCTTCTGTTACAAATCTATTGTGGTTTTTGAGTAATATCTTAGTTGCAATGGAATTTAATTTCCAAGTTAGCTGAAAAGGAATTGCTTAAGACATGAAACAGCAAACCCAAGCTTTTCAAAGAGCAATACTGGACCAAAAAAACAACAAAAACAAATCTGTCTGGAGCTGCAAAGATGTTAGAGTCTTATATAAGCCTCGTATGGCAACACAGGCTCTAAGTGTATTAGCCCACTATAAAACAGGACTATATGGGTTTAAATATATAATAAGATTTCATGATTAAATGTTTATCCTGGAGAAAATGTCACACCATTTAATGCTTAAAGTTTAAATTCTATAGTAGCACGAGGTGAGGTAGGAGCAGTGAACGCTCTCGCCGTGTGGAGTAAACGCCGCTGCACCGCCCTTCACCGTGCGGTTTGTATGTATTAGGTTTTGCTGCATTGATGAAATTATAGAAACACGATAAAGGAATCTTTCTATGGTGGATGTGTTTCTGTTAGTGGAGTTAATTAAGTCATGAGGAACCAAGCAGGAACTGACATCCATAAGGTCAGTGCTCTCTTACCCTGGAATCCCACATCCTCAATCACCAGCGTTCATTGGTGTGATTTTTATTTTGAGGATTTGGGGAAAAAATGGAAGAAAGTTTCCATCCCTGCATCAGAGTGCTGCCTGTACGATCTATGGACGGTTTTCTATGCTTGCAACAAAACTAGCAGCATTAGTGGAGTTTTGAGATGCAATCCATTTCTTAAATCTATCTTTCCTCTCCTCTAATTTATCCATTAGTTCTGCAATCGCACTTTTTCTCTCACATCCATCTTGGTAGACAGCTGCAAATTTAGCATGCCTTCCCTGGAAATGCCTTTCCAAATTACTTTTTATTAGTTGACACCTTCTTATTCAAAAGCAAACATGCAGGTAATCCTTCTGCATTGGTAATGAAAGCAAATGATTCGGTTCATTCTTCTTTAAATCCTCTTTCCTCATCAGCTATCTTCTTTTTTTTCCCCTTTGGGCTCCATGGCCTGAGACACACCCGCTACTTTTCATTTACAACAGCTACCTGCCTGGCACCGCGTCGTGCTGGAACATGTGCTGCAGGCTATGAAGCAATTTTTCGTTGACGGAAATGTGTACATTTATTGCTTAAATTTATTTACTATACAAATTTCTTACATCATTGGAAAACATAATGAATGTTTGATTGACCTACTGCACAAAATAAATACATCATTTTCAATTTTCATATCACCACTGATGAGCCTCATGGGGCTCTGGACCCGTAGGTTCCCTGGTTTAAGAACACACATTTTTTTTTATCTAATAGAGAACGTTTGGGCAGAGCTTAAAATGTTTGTGAGTTCAATAAAGCTGATTAGGTTTTTGAGGGGGTTGGACAAAGATTCCAGAAACTATTAAAAAGAAAATTAATTTATTAGTTTACTGAAAACTTAATTATCTGATTTGGATTTTTGTTTTTGTTTTTTTGAACCTCCAAATTCCTGTTTCCCTTAAAAGAAAATCTTTCTGTTGATTTAGTTATTTTCTTTTCTAGAAGTAAGTGAAGTGTATATATATGTGTGTATTTAGTTTTTTGTTCCCACATATCCAACGTCATAGAAGTGGTTTAATTCCAGATCAATTAGGAGACATCCAGGTCAGATCAGGGCAGCTTTTGACGCACACTAAAATAACCTACTAGTTGATCATCTCTCACTTGAGCAGATTTCCTCAAGGCTTTTTTTTTCTTTCAGCAATGCTCTCCTCCCTGTCCTTTTTATAGACCTTTTATCCTGTCACTGTAATCCTCCTGGTCATTTGCTCCCTCCCTCCTTCTTCTTCTCTTTCTTTATCTATCCCTCCTAACTTCTTCTTTTCCCTTCCTTTTCCAAGCTGCCTTACATCAGTACCAATACTCTTCCCTTCATCTGTATCTGTTCCACCTCCAGCAGCAGTTAAATATTTCTATGTGGTCACTGAGCAATAGACCCGATTTTAACATTAATAAAACTAATACGGTCGTGGAAAACAATTAAACTTTTCCCCTTCTTTGGGTTTTGGTTTTTTTTTTTTTTTTTTTTCTTTAAGGCAACCTTGTTTTTGTTCTTGTTTTTTCTTCTGTTAACCATTTATTCCTTAGGACTTCAATTCCGTTAAAAATTAATTGAATAGAATAACACAAAATGGAAATAAGACGAATGAAAACTCAAATATAAAACTTAAACAGAACCAAAACCATGACATACCACCTCTCTACTCTGCTTCCCTCTATCTCTTTGCTGTCATCACTGATTCTGTCCAGGAATTTTTCCTCTAGAGAACTTATTATCATATTGATGATAACTATAAAACTATAACATTGTGTATAATTTATAAGTCACTTTAGATGAAAGCATCTGCTAAATGCATAAACATAAACATTTAAGATTATTTTAACCTTTGTTTTTTCAGTAGACTGATTTCAGAATTACACAAGTGAAAATAGATCAGTGTTTTGGGCTGGTTTAACTGGGATTGGATTATTCTAAAGTGATTTTTGATTGTTTTCATGGTAAATCTAACAAGCAGATAAAGCATTGGGAATTTGCCATGTTAATCTTGGAGGCATTTTTCATTTTCCCTTATATTTTTCTTCATTCTTGTCCATCTAATGCTTGTAGCCATTTTTTCCACATCCTCCTAAGTTGTTTCTTCACTATGTCCATAGCCTCCATGCTGTTTTGGAGATTTCAGAATACTTAACCCTCCTGCAATCACCTGCTCACCTCAACCATCCCCTGTCTTTTTAGTTTTCTTCCTTCTTTGATCTTTTGTTATCCTTCTTTTATTTTCTCTTTCTTTTTGTCCAACTTGCTTCTTTACCTCTCATTTCTCCCCAAGGTTTGCTTTCGATCATTAGTTACTCAGATTCCTGCTTATTTTAATGTTTTTTTTCCTTTATTCCATCCATCCATCCATCCATCCATCCATCCATCCATCCATCCATCCATCCATCCATCCATCCATCCATCCATCCATCTGCTAACCTCTTGATTTTCTCTCCTATTCAGTCTATTACAGTCCTTCTCCTCTGTTTCAGCATCCAGCTTCTTCTGTCGTTTCTCCCACCTCTCTTCCCTCCTATTTTGTTTGTGTTGTCAGTCCCTAGAAGTCAAGTCAG